TGAAAAGAGATAGAACTTTTGCAATGTGGGAAGGGACCTGATAGCAGGAAAACCTTTTGATGTGCTACCTAGGGGCTAATGTGGGTTTTAAGTATGAACATTGAGGAAATTTGTTAAACAGGCATTGAAAAAGTATACCAAAGCCATTGGTCAAAATACATGTTAAATAGGTATTGAAAAAAATATCAAGGYTATTGGCTGTGTCCTTTAGTCTTTTTGAGTTTGAATCCTTCCTGTCACTTCCATCTGGGTTCACCCCCACCTGGGTTCACCCCTACCTTCCATTTTCCCTGGGCTCTGGGACAAAGGAGTTGACTGGAATGTTTCCACCCCTTAGCTTCATGGTCTTTACATTTGAAAAGGCTTTGGTGGGGCCTATTACTCTGACTGCCTAACCATCTATTCTTATTTAGAGTGGTTCCCCTGTTTGACCATATCATTAGATTCCATAATTAGAAGGTGGCTACTGCTTCCAGTAGACTTGAAAAAGCCTGGATTACAGACTGGGTAAGACTGAGAGGTTAGAAAGTAGAGGTATAACATTAGGTTGCAAAGGAAATAAGGCAGAAAAAAAATAAAAATGAGACAGAGTTGGATGCGGTGGATCACACATATAATCCCAACTACTGGGATGGCTGAGACAGAGGACTGCAATTTCAAGACTAGCTTCAGCAACTTAGTGAAACCCGGTCTCAAAATAAAAACAAAAGGGTTGGGGATATAGCTTWGTGGTAAAGTGCTCCTAGGTTCAATCTCTAGTATGGGGCTGGGGTTGAGGGAAAGAGKAAGGGAAGGAGAGGGGAGCAACCTTATATACTGAAAGATTAAGTGAGGTGGACATTGAAAATACACAAAAAAAAAGTAGGGCTAAATCATGGAGCAAAGTCTCTAAAGGAATTGGAAGAGATGTCTCTGGAGAAGGGTCCAAGGAGTTCCCAGAGGAGAGGGGGAACTCAACTCAGAACCAATGAGGTCTTGGCATCGGTGAAGGAAAAGAATTTCAGCATAAGCCAGACAAGGCAGAGGCAGAGGTTTACTTAGGAAGGTAGATATACATTCAAGGGAGAATGAAAGCTGACTTGGGCTCGGCGTGGGGAGTGGGATGTCCAGGGGCAGGGCTGGAGGTGCACAATTCTGCATTTTCCCCTCATTTTACAAGCACATGGGCCAAAATTTACAAACTGTTTTGTGCCTCTCAATGGCTTGTGCGTATTTCCTTCAAGTTTCAGTATTTCTCTGTTTATCCTAAATCCMTATCTCAGAAGGTTTCCCGAGTTCAAGTGGAGAGATTAACCTTGAGAGGTCAGAACATTTCTCTTAARGCAGAAGGGAGATGGCGAGATGGCGAGGAAGGCTGGTGTTGCAAGTAGACTTTGAAATAGTGGCTAGWGGAGTTGAGGAAATTCACCTCTACTGGTCTCATTTTCCTCAGAAATGTAGGAGATGAAGTATTTTATTTTTATTTTTCCAAAGGGGATGGGGGTTAAGTAAGAGGTTAGGAGTACAAGGGTTGGGACTAGCCAGGAGGGAAAAGCTAATAGTCTGAGAAGCAATGTGTAAATGTGACTGTTTTAGGCTCAATCAATAATACCTGATCGCATGGAAGTTCTGACATAAGTTGGACACCTTTGGTTTATAATGGCATCAATTCGCAGGGTCGTGTGATTTCTTGCATTGGTGCATGAGTGGATGGAGCTGGTTGAGGTTGCAGAAGAGTTTTGCAGGTGGGTGGAGCATTGAGGAGGCAAGCGGTTGAGGGTTTGGTGAAAGACCATTCGGAGCTGGGAGCTTCAGACTCTGAATACACATTCATCGTTGGCTGTTTAAATATATGTTTGCAGGTCCAGTGCACCGCCTAGCTTAAGAGAGTTAGCATCCCTGGGGCCTGGTACCAAGACCGGCGGTGAAGGACTTCAGGGTGCTGGCGGGGTGGGGCTGTGACAAGCAGATGGTTGGGAAACTCATTTTATTCAGACCGCACACTGGGGAGCCCCGCAGGAATCATAGGGGAGGCCAATACCTTCGGGGTTATAACTGAGTAGTAAAAACAGTGTGGACACTGCAGCAAACCGGCGCCGCGTGGCGATGACGTCATTCCAGGGGACAGGAAGCGATCAGTTAAGATACAGTTCACAAAGGCAGTTTAAAGATATTTCAGGCTTTTTACTTTATACTTCCACCTCCTGCAGTTTGAAGTTGTAACAAAATGATACTCCTTCACCGTCGCCCGTCACCATGGAAACGCTGGGTAGCTAGGCCGGGACAATTCCATATTACGTCATTGTTGAAGCGCGCCCGGGAACTGGTGGTTCCGCCCTGGCCTAGGGAGGGGCACTGCACGTGGAAACGTTGGCTTCAGGGCTTAACGCATCTTCAATAATTTTGGTCCCTACCAGGCGCCGTCTCCAGTCTTCCAGTCTCACCCCACCTACTCCGGGAGCAATCCCCTCCCGCCCTCCACCCGCTCACCGCCCGCGGCCCCGCCTCTGTACGGAGGCCCCGCCCCCGTGAATCAGCTGATCTTTCGGACCCGCGGGGCTGCTGGGCTCGCGCCGGATGCTGATCGCTGTGCTGCCGGTGGAGCGTCAGGTGAGCCAGCGCGGGTCCCGGGGTGGCCCTTGGCTTCCGAGGACTGATCTATCGGTCGGGACCTCCTGGGTGCGGATGGCTGGGGTCCGGGAGCGAGGCGGAGACTCCGGCCGAGGCCCTGGAGTGCACTGCGGGGGCCTGCGGATTCGGCGCCCGGGTCTTCCCACCCAGTGTCTACAGACGGCGCCTGCCTGTCGAGGAGCTCCGGACGCTGCCCGGGGCCCCAGGTTGTCCCTCTCGCCCGTATCTCACCCTCCCCAGTCTGGCCTCCCCTGCAGTGGTCTCAGTGGCGTGAAATTCCTTCATGCCCTCTCTTCCCGCCTCCACCCACGCTGCTTTCCAGCCATTCATTCTTGAGGATTTATTGACTGCCCACACTAGATGCTAAGGAGATAAACCCGGGTCCCTGGCCATGAACCCTGGTGCGTGTCCCAGGCCGATTTGCCCCACGGTGCAAATCGTGGTGAAGAGTAAACCGAGGGCTTTGGTGTTTTGAAAAGGCGATTGCGGAAAGAAGTAAATGACTTTGATATTAGTAATTAGGAGTTTAGTCAAGTCTTTTTAGTGAGTCAAGTGATCCATTAGAAGAGAGGTTAAGTTAAGAAGTATTAGAAGTTGAAGTGGTGTATTTCGGTACGGCATTTCCTTTTTGGTTTAGGAAGGTGAAGGAAATAACTGTTGTATCCAAATGAAGATCCTTACTCTGTTGCCTTTATTTGTTGGTGACTGTAAATGTTCTTTAAAGTGCTTTAAGAAATAACATTGTGTGACGTATGTTTATCTGAGCAGGTACAATATTTGGCAAAGCAATTAGTCACACGTTTTTTTCTATTGTATACGTGTGTGACTCGGAGTGATCTTTAGGTTAGAATTTAACAGATTTTTTTTTTTTTTCTTTGCTGGAGATTGAACCCAAGTCCTCACGCATGCCAAGCAAGCGTTCTACCACTGTGGTACTACCCCATCCCTTTTTAAAATTCTATTTTGAGATAGGCTCTTGCCAAGTTGCCTAAGCYGGCCTCAAACTTGCAGTCCTTCTGCCKCAGCCTCTTGAATAGCTGAAACTACCATCCTGTGCCGCCGTTCCTGGCTATTCACAGAATTTAAAGCCGTGAAAATTTTATTTTGTAGTAGATTGCACTATTTTAATCTTAATAATATAGCATAGTGGCTTTGGCATGCTACATCTTTCTTTGAGCAAGTTACTGAAACCTCTTCACATTGGTTTCCTTATCACTAAATCGAGGATAAAATTGCTTTCCTAACATTAGTAACTTTTATATGTAATGGTTCATGTATCTGTTTATTACAGTGCCTGGTTCATGGTAAATATTCAGTATATATTAACTCTTCTATAATTATTTCTTCACTTCATCATGATCCATACTATATGGATTTTTTTCCCCTGAGTGGTGAGAAAGATATATTTTAGTAGAACAATTATTATTCATGTTTTTAAATCAAGAGAGTTTTCCAGATAATTTTGTGATACTTATATTTAGAGAATATGCTTTCAGGTTGGTCTCTAGTTACTTTGATATTAAATAAGGCATTTTAATGTGTAAAAGATGCCATCTATACCTACCTTAAATTTATTACCTCCTAAAGAGCGACTAGTTAGGCATATTGAAGGCTCATAGTTATATAAAAAAAAAATTTAAAACCACTTTGTGATATTAAGATTTGAATAGGTAATGGTCCAGAAAATAAAGTACCAAATCATAATTTTTGGGAAAAAATTTGAGTACCATTTCTCAGACTGCTCATTTCATAAATTGATATACAAAGTATGAACTGCATCCTTTCTTACCAGATTTGTTTTTCACAGTTTAGACTATCATTTGAAACCCTTACTTTGAGCATTTTGACTGTTAAAGAAACAAAGGTCATGTTAAGAACTTTACTGAGTCCTGATTTTAGTTTTCGTGTGATTAGGTGGAAAGAATACTATCAGTCTACCTTTCATAAAAAAACATGGGTTTAAGCAGTAACTGTTGGAGTTCCTTCTAACAGTATTTCTAAAGAAATGTCACAGGATTGTAACAATCTTCTATGATTATTAGTATGAGACTAGTAAGGTATGAGTGAAAAACTACGAAGCAGGTTGGAATGGTGATTTTTGAGACTGTGTTTAAGAAGGCTTGCTTTGTTGTAGTAGAAAGTTGAATACCTTTTTCAGTCACTTTGAGGAATGATAGGATGATTTTAGTGACTTCCAAATCATTTAGCTTTTCAAAATAACTTTACATATTAAATCTACCACATAGTCCAGCTATATTAGAGATATGGATTTTCTTGATAGAATTTCCTTTTTTTTAGCAGATTTTTTTCTTTTAACCCCTATCTATTGATAACCAAATAATCCAGTTATCACTAATAAGAAAGTAGTACATTTTGTAAGGTGTGGGTCCTTAAGAAACTGCTTGGTAATCACAAATAAAGTAGCAATATACTATGATTTGATTCTTCTTTAGTATTGTACTAATTTTCCTATCTGTATTTCCTGTTTCTCTAGATATGTGATGGTGGTGTCTTTAGCTTATGTCTTGGTGTTTGCCTGTATGCAGATGAACTACTTGATCCAATTAGGGTAGAGCAAAACTATTTAAATTAGTCAAGTACTGAATACTTTTTTGGATATTGTATAGTGTGTTTGTTTGTTTTGGTACTGGGGATTGAAGCTAGGGGAGCTTTACCACTGAGCTACATACCCAGTCCTTTTTTATCTTTTATTTTCAGACAGGGCTTGCTCAGTTGCTGAGGCTGGCCTTGAAGTGGCAATCCTCCTGCCTCAACCTCCCCATATTCTAAGATTACAGRTGTGTACCACCATGCCTGCCTATCTATATTTCTTTTAAATTTAAAGAAAATGTAGTTTTTCTCAGCTCTTAGGAAAAAAAGATTGGGGCTGTTTGGTAGAGGTTCATTTTGCTGCCAATGAAGTATGCCTAGAAAGATTAGCTTTTGTCTAATTAATTCCATAAAAAATTGATCAACTTATATTTCCCTTAATTATCACATATTATTTAAGTATTTTTCTTCTGAGTTGTCACATGGTTCTTATTTGGAAAGTGGCATCTGGGTGGGCTGTAATTTATTCAGGATTCTTTTCTCTGACAGCCTAAATTTTTGTTGAACCAATTTCTTAACTGAACTTGGGGCAGTTTCCCAAACAAACATGTAACAAAGATTTAAAGTAGCAATATAATACAGAATAATAATAATAATCCAACTGTATGTTRTAGGAAAACTGGTTTATGCATGCAATTAAATACTTATTCCCTAGTGAAAATGAACTATATCTTTACTTACCAGTATAGATTCACCTCAAGTACATAATGTTAACTGAAAAGAATCAAGTTGCCAAAGGATATATAAAGTAAGATGTATTTTAAAGCCATCCAGTCACATAGATTGTTTATTGATAAGTATATATCATGTATGTATTATGTATTTATCTAAAGTACATAAAAGTATAAGCATCTGTGTGGGAATGAGATCTATTTTTACTGACTAGAGCTCCTTCAGCTCTCAATATAACTTTTTCTTCTGTTTTTAAAGAAAGCTGAAGCAAATTTGGAAATATGTTCATGAATCTGTTAAAACTGGGTGATGAATATGTGGATTTGTTTTTTTATTTTTACAGTTTTATGTATGGCTAAGATGGTTTGTGAAACTCATACTTTAAAATTTCTTTTTTAATCAGGGTACTTTCCAACATGCTTTCTTTATTTTACTTTGTAACCTCAAAGTAGTAGAATGAAAAATAACTTCTCTCCCTGCCACAGGGAAGGAATGTACCAGTGCATCTCCACTATGTGAAGCTGTACTGTTCTGAAGACAGGAGACAGACCAATTCTTTGGTCAAGTTTTACTTTGCAGTTTGACTTTGTGTCCTGGGAAACACTTTTTTTTTTTTTTTAAGGAAATGAGGAGTGATCCCTTTTAAAGAGCTGCAGRGGAATTAAACTGCTAGAGATTCTGGGAAATATACTGGCATATACTGGTCTTGAATTCTCAAAGTATAGAGGAGTAAGTTGAATCATAGTACTATAAAAGGAATTTGGATATAGATTAACTCAGATATGAAATTACCACAGATTTCACGTGATCGTTAACAGTTTTGTGAAGTTTGGGTTTAGTTGGGTTTGCATTAGTTATTCTCATGRGTATGATAATTCTAGCAATTGAATTTCAAATTCCCAAGTACTGCAACAATTTATGCTTCTTATTATATGGCATTATTACASAATGTTTCATGGGAATTTTAGTAATTCTGAAAAATTCATTTTAAAAAATATGCAGTAGTTACAAAAGAAGCTAAATGAGCATGTCTGGGTATTTATCGTGCTGCATTTAYGTACTTTTCCCTTTTAGAGGATTCCCATAATCAGAAGAGTGCAGATTTATTAGGTTTCGGTATAAAATTAGCAAGGCATCAAAAAGTACACTGTAAGGCTGGGCGCCGTGGAGTACCTGTAATCCTAGCTGCTCAGGAGGCTGAGGCAGGAGGATTGTGAATGCAAAGCCAGCCTCAGCAAAAGAGAGGTGCTAAGTAATTCAATGAGTCCCTGTGTCTAAATAAAATACAAAAAAGGGCTGGGGGTGTGGTTCAGAGGTTGAGTGCCCCTGAGTTCAATCCCTGGTATCCCCCCACCAAAAATAAATAAATAAATAAATAAATAAACACTGAGAAATCTTCACATCCCTGATCACACCAAAATGTGTCTCCCTGTACTAAGGGGAAAGGGAGAAAGATATTATTCTTCCTTGAGTTGTGTAACATTTGCAAAGTGGCATGAGATAAAAGTGTCTCCATGGTTAGGAAATACCATTATCAAATTGTGTACAAGAATTTCTATTATGAAAGATATTATTTTACTTTTGTATCTGATGTTGACTTTTATTATAGGCTCTAGGAATCTATAGCATTTGGAAGACTGTAGAATAGAACTCAAKATTAAGGGCAGTGTCTCCCACTCAAGTATTCACTTAAATGT